TCATCGTGCGATGCACCGAACGGAGGGCAAGGCTAGTGTACTGCACCAGATAGGAGGCTGCAGGGGGGCTCGTTGGATAAAGACCTCGGCTTAGCGCATCATACGAGCAGTAGTACGCTTCGCGCGAGATAAAATGCCTAGATAGAGTAGCTTTTAAAAGTAGCGATGAGTGGTGATACATGCTTTTATGTTTAGCATGATTGGCAAACGGTTCTTTTGCATAATACTGAAGGTTATGTCAACACCCAGTGCCCCGCCATGCATGCTTAATCCACAGTGATTGCAACTCAGATCGAATATCATTTACACCCAGGGCCCACAGTCGACTTAGATCACCCCTGCTCGCAAAATGTTAGTTGACCAGCGATCAGTTATGGCTTCTGTCCGCTATTGTCCGCTGGCAAAGTCGGCCACGTATGTATTCTCATGACCTCGCTCAGCTCGGTCAGTTACTTTGAGTTCGCTTTTGAAGGCAAGCATTTGTAAGTATATTCCACGTATAGAAATATCTGTCCTGTCCTGAGTTTAATGTGTGACCTAACCTTAGTTACACCGATATTCCACGGTGAAGTTGGCCTGCCAATCGTTGTCTTCCAGGGGACGTATGGTTGAATCATCCCACGTTGCTGCATTCTTGAGCTGTTGACATTCAACTTCGTCATACATGTTCCCTCATGTGGGTTTTGACAGAAGCATATAAGGACGATAGTACCGGTTTTCAACAGTTCTGGAGCCATTTGGTGCAAGAAGAATCATGTTGGAGAGGGCACCTATCATTAACAGCGATAAACACGCTAAGCCATGGTTCATTATGATCATGTCATGTGATGGACAATCTACTGATCATCAAGTACAATGTGTAATGTGTGAGGCTGCCCCAGGCGAAGATGAGACAAGTTGTGAGAAAGCGACTAACATTTAGGGTGGCATGTCTCGGTTTGATGGCTCCGCGTTCTGGGCAGACGTTTTGTGATAGCATGATTAAATCAGCGAAGTTATGGGAGCCGAGCACGGTGGAGTTGGCAACCTGTCCAGAGGATTTAAACGTGCCGGGTAATATCGATGGTAGCTGTTGCACCACAGTGGCATTCTGAAGTTCATTTACTTCTGACATTGATTTTCGTATGCCGCACAGGTTATTGCATGTTAAAGGCTCGCCATATATATTCTACGTCCGCTGATTGATTGCATTACGCTGGATTGCACTGATTGGCGTCGACGGTCGTGATAAAGGCACATAAAACGTTGAGACATGCTATAAGGTATCATTGCTTTCGTGACAGATTGCCAGAGGTTATTCACACGCCCGTTAAGTTACACATTAACCTTGGTCTAACGTAGACCCATGATTACAAACCGCACCAATTACAACTGGTATTGTGGAACTGAAGGGTTTTACGCAGTTATCGCAGCTCGGTTCAGATAACATAGGTAGCCTGTTTCAGAATGATTAGCATGGGAATTACTTCAATGGCAAGCCACGACACTGGAACCGGTTCAATGTCCTGGAGATGGGAAGATGGCGTAACCACTGCGCCGACACAAAATGATCTTATCCGTGACCCGGTACCATCGCAGCAGACCGCCGGAACGCCGGCCTGGGCTGTTCGCTGATGAGGGCACCAGACAAACTAGAGCTACGAAAACTATCAACAGCGCTATCATGCGTCGCATCTGATCCACAAGGAAAAGACTAATGGTTACATCACTAGCATGTGCCCCAGCCGACTAGCCGACAATGACGCCCGCTGGGACGCTGGCGACCGTGACAGGTGACCCGTATCTCCGCGCCAGCCTGAGGTGCCCGGAGGTCGAACCGAGGCGTGATCGCCCGGGGCCTGGGCGGTCGCAGAGATCACCGGTCCGTGTCACGACCGCACCGCCGTGGGCCGACTTCAAGGCGACGCGCAGCCCCGGCTCAGATCGCCGCGCGTTTCGGGCATGCGTGCTCCGTTTTGATGGGCGCCGCCGGCGGCGAGAGTGGCGCACGGGCGGCAAGTGGCGCGGCACTGATATGCACCACTGCACAGATGGACCGCGTGCCAAGCCGGCGTTGAGAGCAGTGATTATGTGAGCGGCGGGTGACGTAGGCATCTCCGATGTTGGAGCCGAGCTCTGCAGATTCGCAAATCAAGATTCGACCGTGCAGAAGTTCATGGATCCCGCCCGCGCTGCAGGTCCTGCTCGGGCTTGCAAGCGTGACGGAAGCATCGACTTACAGTGTGCAAAAGCTTGCTCGTGCATTTGTGGAACCCGCTTTCTACGAATTTCTTCCACGAAAGCAACTGGTTTCGATCTCCGGTGTCGGACGCATTATGCACAGGGCTAGTTTATTGCTTCATTTTATGTAACATGCATGAGAGCACTGCCCCCGGGTATGTGCTAAGTACAAAGTATCGTGGACGGACGCCAGAAAATGAGAAAGGAAGACGGCCGACAGCATCACGTGATCATATGTGCAGCGCCGTTTTGCGCAGCAATGTCGCATGTGACTTCATGAAATAGTACCGGATACGACACTGATTGCCCGTTTAATCGATCGGTTCCCACAAACTCTAAATGATCAAATAATGCGGGCCGGTCGCTGCGTCAGGGTGCGATCACTATCGCGTGCTCGTGAACTATCTACGCCGTATACTAGCTGTCAGCTATGGATTCATATCAGTAATATCCAATATTCGACTGTCGCCGCGGTAAGCGCGGTACCTGGCTCTCCTCGCCGTGCCTTTACTTGGCATGTATGCCGTTGTCGTATACATTGCCGCAGGTTTACCTTCAGGCATGTCGTGGCTCCGGCTTACAGCCCGCGCCCCATGCCACAGCTGTGATGTGCACGACGATAGGTTGCACGAGCGGATGCCCATTTCTGGCTCCCTGGCGTGGTCCAGCCGCCTCTGATCCGTCCCGTCCCGTCCATGAGGCTCAGCACCACTTTGCTGACCATCCTCCATGAGCGGTCACCACAACGAAAAAAATATGTAGGACTAGAACAGCTGGGCTTAATGTCTGATGATGAACATTACCTGTAGCGTAGTCCGAGACGGAGACCGGCCTCCATCAAAGAGTTGTTATTTAGTTGAACCCTTATATGAGCTTCCCACCAAAAGCCAAGCATACATGGTCTAGAGCTCCATCTATCTCAAAGCAAGAGATGGGCGTAAAATTACGGCGGATTTTTACCTCGAGAAACAACTCACATCCATTACCTCTAAAAACGTGGCATGTGTATACCGCAAACAAACGCTTTTAGCCCATCACCCGTGAGATTCCTAATGTGCCGGCTTCTCCGCAGAGGGCGGCCTCAAGCTTGGCCCGCGGCGAGAGGGGACGACCTGTCTCAGCCGCCGGCCTCAGGTCAAGGTCAGCGGCAGCGACCGGCCAGAGGTCAAAGTCAGCGCTCGGCCTGGCCATGAACGGCGTTGCGGCCTCCGGCGACTACGGCATGGATGACGACTACCATGATGCCGACGATACCATTCCACTGCACCAGGAGGACATCTATGGCGGCAGGTGAGTCTGCTGGGCTTAGGTCAAGCTGCCCTTCCGGCAGCTGTACTGCATTTTCATACTGCTTCATAGGATAGCCGGTTGATGAGGGCAACAAGCACGGCAGAGTGCGACTTGTAGTCCTACTTGTAGGCTGTAGTGATTGTAGCTAGTGGGGTATATTTTGTGTAGAGCGTTATACCTTGGTTTCGATTTCGCTATACCTCGTCGATTCAATGCAGCAAGTTCATAAAGGATATGGCATGATCGTGTGAGCAATTACTTCAGGAGTAATGCACATGACGCCGAGGGCTTGGTGATAAAGAATTGCATGTGATGTGTGGGAGATGATCTTTTCCGTTGTCAAGTTAAACCTAATGTTTTGGACGACAGAAGATATAAAATATGTCATCACCTGAAACCTGGAGAGTTAAACTTAAGCAGGCTATTCAGATGTTTGCTTGGCGCCTTTGACTTACCACGCGATTTATAGCATAGCGTAACTCCCTAGCCCACTCGCTGGGTCGCAGATGATTTGCATCTCCACTGCTGCCTTGTGTACACAGAACTGTCTGGTCACAGCCTCTCAGTAATCGCCGAACACTTTCTCCTGGATGAAAGGACGTGAACGACGAAACCACCGAACTGCTTCAGCTAGCACGCCGCGCGCATAATTAAGCGCGTGAAGGTGTTTTGTCGCTTCATGCGACCTTCGGACCGCGCAAGCAATCTTTTTAGAGGCTGATGCCTGCTCCGTCAGCACATGCGTTGAGCAGAACCTTTGGAGACGGCGTGACTGTAACGGCTGCCGCGTGGAGGACACCGCCGTGCGCTCTGTATGCAAAACACCGGCTGTACGCTGTTTATAACCGGTAGTTGGAGCGCCCGTGGACGCTGCCGGCGAGAGCTGACTCGCGTATGTGGGTCACGTGCTGTCCAATGCCGAACAGCGCTGCCCGACGAGGCCCGTGTCGGACAGCGTCCGACATCATCTTCTCAGAAACTCAGCGCGACTTGAGATGTGTCGCGGCGAAAAGCTCCTGTAGCCAGACAGCGAGCCATGTCAGAATAAAGCAAGGCAGATTTTTGCAAGGTCTGTGGGGTTAAATCATGGACGTAGGTTCTGGTTTCGGCCGGAGGTCCTCTGCCCTGGCTTCTGTGTCACGGCTGTGCCAGAGCCCTTGTGTTCCGGCTGTGCGAAAGCTCCTGTGTCCTGAGTCCGCCTGCTTCGGCTGGGACTCACCCGTCCTTGTTGGGCAGGACCTCCTTCCTGTTACAATACTGTTGGCCCGGACCGTGGCTTTAGTCCCGTCTAGCGGCCTCTGACGCCTGGCCATCTGTCGTACGGACTGAGCGTGTGTGTATGTGTGTGTGTGTGTGTGTGTGTGTGTGTGTGTGTGTGTTGTGTGTGTGTGTGTGTGTGTGTGTGTGTGTGTGTGTCTGTGTGTGTGTGTGTGTGTGTGTGTGTGTGTGTGTGTGTGTGTGTGTGTTGTGTGGTGTGTGTGTGTGTGTGTGTGTGTCTGTGTGTCTGTGTGTCTGTGTGTGTGTTGTGTGTGTGTGCTGTATGTCTGTGTGTAACCCGGGTATCTAGGTCGACTTGCGCGTTTGTCACACTCGGTTGGCCACCGGCCCCGGCCAGCCATCGAGACGTGCACGGCGAGAGCTGGCTCGTGCCGCCGTAGTAGACAATTCACGGGGGCTCAATCAGCCTGAATCACACTGAGCGCCGTGCTTTTGGGAAAGCCGTTTTGTCTTCATGCTTGCCGTTTGTTTATTTGCAAGCGCAGCGTGAGCTGCCATTCTACTATAGACGGTTGTTATCATCCGACACTTAATCATTCTACAACACCGTTTTGCTGCCGAGGCTCAAACTTCAGGATATTGAAATATAAGGTATTCTAGTCAACGTTATATATATATATATATATATATATATATATATTATAATATATATATATATATATATATATATATGTACGTTTATATACAGATATATATATAGAGAGAGAGAGAGAGAGAGAGAGAGAGAGAGTGAGAGGAGAGGGAGATGAGAGAGAGAGAGGAGAGAGGGAGAAGAGAGAGAATATAGATAGATATATATATATAATATATATATATATATATATATATATATATATATATATATATATATATGTATTTAGATGTGTTAAATCGAAGAGCGGTGAGAGGCAGATCTTTCCCTTCCGATTGCCGTCCCGCCTCACCACAGCCGGGGCTGCTTGACTTTCCACTCGGCCTGCGCCAGGCTATCGCCCTGTGATCCGAGCTGACTGTCTTGTTTGTTCTATTGTGTGTAAGACCGCTGACCTCAACTGAGCTCACGCAAGGCTCCAAAGGCAGTGGTAAACCCTGCACCACGCCCTACGAACCACCCATTCACAGCGGTAAATCCTGCCAACGTTCCGCGCCCTGCCATGTGTCTGTACAGAGATCTACGCGATGAAGTCGATTTTTAGAGGCGCGCGCTTTTGGAGCTGCGGACGTGGGAAAGCCCATTGGGAATGCCTCCGCCCTGGCAGCGGCCAGCCGGGTGGGGTCTCTTCGTGTCCACCCTGACGCTCACAGGCAGGGGGTGGGGGGGGGGGGGAGACACGCGATCCCCTCACGTCCTGCCGAGGTGTTTGAAACGGCCGATTGGTGGACGGTAGCATGGTGGTCGACGCTAACCATTACTGCTAGAATGGCGGATGTTTCGGAGGCTGGGAATATGTCGTTCAGTCGGGCTGGTCCTGTGATCACTGATCGCGGTACAGCGATCGCTGATCGCGGTACGGCAGTCAATAAACTTGGGCTGTATCGGAGGAACACACAACCAGGTTGAGGTCAGATCTAAGGTACGATACACCTCCAGCTGAGCTGAAGCTCGCTCACGTTGAAGAGATATGGTATTGAGTTATATGATTTACCGATGCATCTTTCTCATGCGTTACTGAACGCGTCTGGTGGATGTCCCAGCTCATTATTGACCACTGATGCGGTGCTTGCCCGCCGCCCTGGCTGACTGTCATGTTCTCATCGTTATAGAAAATCGGTACAATAACTGTTCGTGGCATACCGGCGTCCAAGTGAGCCTAATGCTAACGTATCCCGTTAATGTTAGTGTCACAGACCACAGCGGTATTAAACGTTCCTTTGTTGTGCCTCCTGGTGCATGGCCTGTCCATCCCATAATGTCCTTCACCCCCCCCCCCCCCTCCCTCCCCCATGCTTGGATGTGCCTGTCTGTCCCGCAATATCAACCGCGCCGCTGCAGGGATGTCCGGTCTGTCCTGCCACGTCCCGGGCAGGGCCTGCTGTCCAGCCAGTCCTGGACAGAGGTCTGCTGTACTGCCACGTCCCGGGCGGGGCCTGCTGTCCAGCCCGTCTTGGACAGAGGTCTGCTGTCCTGCCACGTCTGAGGCAGGGTCCGCTGTCCTGCCAGTTCTAGACGGAGGTCTGCTGTCCTGCCACGTCTGGGGCAGGGTCCGCTGTCCTGCCAGTCCTGGACGGAGGCCTGCTGTCCTGCCACGTCTGGGGCAGGGCGCGCCTGTCCCGCTCGTCCTAAGTAGGGGGGGGGGGGGGGTCTGCTGTCTCGCGACGTCCCGGGCGGGGTCTGCTGCATCGCCACGTCCCGAGCAGAGCGGGGTCTGCTTCCCGACACGACGCCCTGCCCTGCCGGTGGCATGTGCCGGCTCCACTCGGGCCGTAGTAAGACGTAATTGTCCAAGGCCAGCCGGTCGGCGCCCGAGCGGGGTTGTAATCGGTCCGGTTCGTGACCGGTGGGGGAGAGATCAGGCCTGATTCCAGGATAGCGTCATTTCCGCCATACGCAGTCAGGTGTGGTCCGCATCCGGCCACATACAGATGTGTAAACGCCAGACTTTTCCGGATTAGATCCGGACCCGCCGGGTCAGATCCGGACCAGATAGCCCCTGTGAAATCCAGTCCGGTCTGAAGGCACGTGACAAGGCTCGATCGCGTGCAGATCGTACATCGGATATGCGTTATACGAGCCGCGCTGCTGTCAGGTCCGTCTCGGGATCGGATCTGACGCGGTGTCGATCCGAATTACCAGTCGTCTCTGCCTTCCAGCGGTGATCACAACCTTTGCGTCTGAGTCATTCCGACGCGCTGTTGCGCCACACCCCCCACTTTGATCTCGGCCAGACCTCCAAATTGACTTTGGGAATAGCGCATGGCTCAGGGCCACGGAATGTAGCGCTGTCCTGGGCCGGGGGCACACGCATTTCGCCCCGGTACACCGTGGTATGCACATTAATGTACCAGGCGACCAGACTCATGTTACGCCAGGAGTCAGGGTTGAATCCAGTATTCATGCGTTTAAGCTGATTCAAGCTGAAGTTATGGACGACAGACAAAGCCGTAACAGGCTAGAAACGCACCGCTAACCATGATTGTGTTGACATGCATCAACATGATTTCAAAGCACAAATCCATTGACCCCGAATGCTGCAAATGCCACCGCATCGATCCGCCAGGTGGCCTGTGGTCGTGACGCTGAGATGACCGGATTGTCGCCGCCCCCGAGCTGACGCTGCCTCCACTGACCTGCCGCAGCCGGCGCAGCGTGATGCCCGAGCTGAAGAAGTGGGACGTGTTCCGCGTCATCCCGCCCGACAACGACTCCGGCTCGGCCGCCGACCAGCGCTGCCTCGACATCACCATCAAGATCGTCAAGGTCATCGTCTACATCATCACCTTCGGCATCGTGCTGGCGTCCGGCGTCATCGCCAAGGGCACCACGCTCTTCATGACTTCGCAGCTCAAACAGCACAAGTCGCTGGAGTACTGCAACAAACGGATAGGTAAGGGAAAGGCCATGGACTTTTGGCGTGTAAGCACATGAATAAGCCCAGCAATGGTCTTAACGCACTGTTACTGCATCCACTCTTATGCCAGGGCTTGAGACATCTGTACAGCATAGCTTCCCTCCCCACCTAAATTAGAACTAGCGTCCTTGCTCATTGCTCCCTGAAACTTTCACCGATATCCATGCCCTCGCAATTAACTGCCAACTTCAGAAGCCTTACGATCGCGCGTACCTGACTACCCTCCATGCGTGCCTGGCTTTCTCTTTACTTCCTTGCTCCTGGGAAACTCAGTGGACAACAGCGCAGACTGTGTGATCATAAAGACCTACATGGCTGAGCTCTTTTCTTATCGCTGATAACGTCTCCGTTTTTACAAACTAAAGAACTTTAGATCAGTATCTTCATCCTTTCACCTATTCCTGAAGCGCATGCAAAAAAGTTCCAGAGGAAATCGGTTGCACTTATTGGAAAGTTCATGGTAATGTGAAGCAGTACCTCGTAAGAGTATCACCCCATGCTGCTATTGGGGACATTTTGAGCAAGCCAATTTAATTGGTGTGTTGTCTATCAGACGGACTTTGGATTTCAGGACTTTGCCATGAACTTTTACCATGGACTTAATAGGACAACCATGGACTGAGGTATGGTAGGGAGTGATGTCCTCATACCGTCATTCGCCGCAAGCATGCCAGTTTGGGGCGCTGAGTCATCCCTATTCAAACATTCCAGGTATGGCTGTGTCACGTGACGCCCACAAGGGTCAGAGATCGCTATCTAAATCCAACCACGCTGTTTGGGTGGTGATAGCAGCAGGCGTGTCATCGGCGGCAGTGTCGGTCACGCAGCCCGCTCGTGCCCGGACCCCGACATGGCCGGCGCTGCCGAGCCGTCACACTTCCCGCCGGCAGGCTCATCCAGAGTCACTCACGCTGTCGTGGTGCTTACAGAGTGCATGACAGCTGCACGGGGACCTTGGGGCTACTCTGGCGCCATCTGGGGTCCACTTCCAAGCTGGTCGCTGCCATGGCCGGCCACACGCGCTCGGTCCCGCGCCGCCGAATGTGCGTGGGAGGGCCGGCCAAGGTCGGCCGATCGACTTTCATCTGCTGTTTGGGCCCGTCCCGACGCAGGGCGGCGGTGTGGGGTGGGTGGTGGTGATAGCGGGGCGGACATCGCCCCTCATCTGCTGTTTGGGCCCGTCCCAACGCAGGGCGGCGGTGTGGGGTGGGTGGTGGTGATAGCGGGCGGACATCGCTCCCATGTCGCCGCACCTGGCGGCAGGGGTGCGCCCGGGAGTCGGTCAGACGAAGAAATATTCTCTGAAAAGTATGCCTGAAAGGCGTCGGTTGAACTGTGTCATTCTTACGCCTCGAGGTTTACCTCGTTGGATGATAGAAATTAGTGCTGGGTTCGTTCCTTTATTGTTTTTTCATGGGTTTGTACAGGCCAGACTCTGCATGGAGGGCATGCACAGTAACTGATGCAACTCAGGCTCTAGGTCGCCCAGGGACCGCAACTCATACTTTGGAGCAAATACAGAAGCTTTTCACCGGAACAGGCTTCCGTTTCTTGTAACGGTTCTATTAGTATTCGGCTTGGACGCTGTTTTACGAGCCAGTATCCCTTACCAGCCGCTACAAAACACCCCATGATTACGGGGTCACGGTGCGGTTGTTTTTCGGGACGTTTTACTGCTTGGTGGTAACCCATTCAGCGTCACAACATTACGCGTCGATTCAATAGAAAGTGAAACTATTGTGTGCGTTTCGGTAGCATGACCTTATCTGCGATGCGTTCTCAACTTGGGTCGGCCAGTCAGCTCTACCAGAATCAATCCCCTTCGCCTCCGTTTGTCTTCATCGGCAGTATAGCTCATATCATGCCAAAATACTATAGTAATAACGTCACGGACGTTCCGCGCCGTGAAAACAACTCACAGCCATCAAACTGCTCGTGAGGGCACCGGGCTGCTGCTGTACCGGTCAGCGTCTCGTAGCTGACCACAACCGGTACCGCAGCCGAGCGCGTCTGTCCGGCCGGCGGCCCAGGTCGGCCGCGCCAGCTGACGCCCCGCTGCCCGCTGCCGTCGCTGCCGTCCGCCGGTCCGGAATGGTGGCAGCGGTCGCGCCTGAGCGCGCCCGCCGCCAGTTTCTCTTCCCAGGCGGCGGCGGCGGCGGCGATCGCGGCGGCGGCGGTCGCGGCGGCGGCGGTCGAGGTCAGGGGTCAGCCCGCCGCCGGCCCCGTCGTGTGACCCAGCCAGCGAAAGTGAAGCGGGTGTGGCCGCGACACGCCGCTCATTAGCGACACGAGCGCCGGCCCTGACATGACCCGGCGCCCCGCGCTGGGCGCCGGAGGGCTTGACACGCAACGCGACAGGGCTCCGCCGGGTTTTTGCGTCGGTTTAGAAACCAGTCGCGACTCAGCACAAAAACAAGCAGACCGCACCGCTTATTGGCGTACCGGGCAGCGCTATGACGGCTCATAGACGGGCCGGCAGAGGCTAGGAAAAACTCCTGGTGGTGACCAGATATGCGCGGTACTCGTGTTAAACGCTACCCGCTAAACAGCCTTGAAATGACGTCAGACAATCGGTCTATTTGAAGCGACCGAAGGAAGGTCAGGCTGCTGCCTTGGTAGTGTCTGCCAGGCGAGCCACCAAGGGTTGTGTGATGCGAAATGCTACTTGTCGATTCATTCCGCACAATGCCCCATCACATATCTCACCGTGCCGTAGCTTGCTAGCTGCCGTGCTGTCCTGTCGCTTACATGGCTTTCCTTGCGACCGCCGTGTTCGTGATCGCGTGTTCGATAGTGTTCCATTCGTATGAAGTCCTCGATATACGGCTGGGCGTCTCGCCACCGAAAGTGCTCCGTTCGTGCGATAGTGCTTGGAACACGGCTGGGCGTCTCGCCACCGATGGTGCTCCGTTCACTGACCGATGTGGTCGGCAGGTCTGGACAAGACGTGGCGGGTGGAGCTGCCCGACGTCGAGAAGGTGGCCTGGGTATGGTGCCTCTTCTTCTGCTTCATCACCCCCGAGGCCGGCACCTGGATACGGTCCACCCGGATGTGCATCTTCAAGGTGAGGTGGTCGCCGTAGCTGTAGTGTGGGCGCGGCGGGCGGCGGCCGCGTGAAGACGCATCACGCGGTGTTTCATCCTGACCTTCGTGCGAAGTGCGAGTGTGATCTCACGCCTCGTGCGAAGAGTGGGCGGAATGCCCCACTTCGCTCTCACAGTGCATTAACATAACGGGACGCAGGTATGGCATTGTTTTGATGCTGCATGCGTAATCATGCTCGTCTTACTTGGTTGAAAACAAGTGAAGTCTTTGGGGTTTATGGTGAAGCAAATTGTCTGCCTTAATAACAAACGTTTTTGTTGAAAAGAACATGAATTGCAGCGCCTTTGTTGTGTAAGAGCTGGTAATGCCTCACTGTAACGTCACACCCAATGCTCCATACATCACGTTACGGGGATTACCCGCTACCCAGGGCTGCTGTGCACGGCCATGCAGTGCGCCCCGGCCATCGTTGTCTCGGAGCGTTGGGTCAGAAGTCGGAGCGGCCGGGCCAACCGCCGCCCGGACATGATGGCACAGACATCAGAGACGGTCCGTACACCAATCAGACACGGTCCAGCCACCACCCCTGCCGCCTGCGCTGCAATTTCTAGTGCCTCACAAGATATACTACTGATGACCAGACGTCGTCTGCTTCTTGTCCTCTGTGAGATCAACATGGCTAGTTAGCGATCGAAAACCAGCCGAAGAGGAAGGGCATGCGAATAAGACAGTACTAATAGCTTTATTCTTCGTGAAGTAACAAAGAGAATGGAGAGATGAATGGATTGGTGTTTCGGCTGCATACCTTTATCGAAACGAATATCGATAGTAAATTCAAAACTGCTCGCTATTCCATTCGACTTTTTTACAGCGAGCCACAGCTTTTACAGTTTACCAACATTCAGGGGATTGAACAAGGGACAGCTGTCAGCCACTGCTACCATACCGTGCCTATGCAGCTAATGGATAAAATGCGAGAAAACACGTGTACATGCAAACGACTTTAAGTAAGAAGCCATCACACCACATATCATTCAAACATGCAAGCGGTTTCAAGCAAACAGGCATCACGCATGGCGCATCACATATAAATGCAGACAATATTAACTAGACAGGCGTCGCGCGTAACGCGGTAGGCACCATTCATACATGTAAACGATTTTAAGCTAGCGCTTCACACGTCAAGCCACATATCACATTCTCATAGCCGGCCATGATGAGCCCTGTATTTTGAGGTATGGGCGTCGGTTTCTTACAAGAATGGACTCACTTATTTTCCTTACTTAACTAGACTTACTATGCTTAGTTAGACTATGTTCCTCCCATTTTTTTTTGCACAGTTTACACTCAATTTTGTAAACCACGTTTTACTGCGTGCGAACCCCTTAGAACCCAGACCTGCAAAGATGACACCTGTTGACCCCCGGTCACTTAGGCTTCGAGATATTAGATTTCACTCGATGTTTTTTTAGCTTATTGTTGTTCTTCCAAACTATGCGTATGCGCAGGTCTGATTTTTTAACGATATGTTTGATTTCCTAAAGCGAGGGCTCATCTATGTAAGGTAGTGGTAAGAATTTATTGTCAGGCAGGGCGTGTTCCCGTTTCCTACCACCCATCCCCCACATGCTCTGGATTGCTTTACCTCCTTCAACATCCCACCTAAAAGTCGCGGAGAATGTATATTGCCCAACAGCAAAGCCCATATTTTGTTCATTTTCTTTCTTTCTTTTCTTCCTTGTTCATGCTTTTCATTATTTGATGAGCTGCTAATAGCCTTGAAGAAAATGTTACAAATTATGCTGTGCTTGGTGAAAGTTGGATGCGCAGATTCACAGTACAGAGTTATACCAGAGTTGGTGGGCCTGATAAAGAGCTCCGTTTCTAGCACTGTGCGGTTGTTCCTCCTTTCACCCGTCACTGGTGTATTCAAATATGGGACCCATTCCGTCACCTGCACGCTTCATCGTAAAAGCTTAATCGTGATGTCGATTGTTCATGAACTCTGAAAATTCTTCAACGGCACGCTGTCCGTGTGTCCATACTGTAGCATAGCCATCGATGTATCTAGCTAAGAAAGTTGGTTTTGATGGGCTGGTGGCCAGTGTATTCGTTTCAAACTGGTCTAAAAATATTACCGCCAGGGGAGGAACGTATGGGCTCTCCAATGCCATGCCCAATTTCTATGCATAGTGGCTATCTCCGAACGAGAAAATTTTATCCTGGAGACACTTCCAAAAGATCGCATGTATCCTCTTTTGAGATCGAACATATCGAATGGCTCTGTTTCAAGAGATCGACAAAAAACATTTTACAATGAACGGCTATGTATCGGCCTTCTGACACAACGCACCTTTGAAACGCTACGTGTGTGCCTTCCGTCAAAACAAAAAATGTATAACAAATATTTCCAAAAATAAGATGGGAATTCAGCTCCACACATGGTCCCTAAAAAGCCGTGTGTGAACTCGGGTGTCAAACCTGTTTACCGATATTGGTTCAGTAAAGCTTAACAATTATCTTTGGAAGGGTTGTTTTTCCCGTCCCCTGCGTGCGGATTTAAGTCCTAGTCGCTACCATTTAAAATACTTGTTGAATTTGCTTAGGTTTCAGTGACTATCCACGAAATGACTGTATTAGCCAGCCTGACCTCAACGGCGATATATCGGTAAGCAATATGACAGCCTGCAAGAGCTGATTTTTTTGGAAGAAAGCAGCCATGAACCATCTTTATGATAACCCAACGCATCAAAATGCCAATGGTTCCGTCTGCGTGTTCTGTAGATTATCATCTCTATGAAGGAGAACAGGAAAAGTTGCGATACTTCCGTTCGGAGAGGTTGGAATTTCGTTGAGATGCAGACCGATGGCCGGCTATGATTTTTGTCGGTAAAGCGGTTTTTAGCAGAACGTATAGGTTCGTAAAGATTGTACAAGTTCCTTTTGGTCGGTTCAAGGCTTATGAGAGATGATAATGACAGCTTATGGCAAATATCTACTAGATGTTTAAAACCCATATAACCTTGTTGTGTTCGTAACGTTCACAACTGTGGCCAAGCTACATAGAATCGAAAATAAATGAAAATTACTAGCTAAAATCTCGCTTTGCTGTCGTTGCGCGTTTTGACGACATTACAAGCAATTGCTGCTCCCAATCGTTCATTTAAACGAGTTTTTAAACGGGCAAAAGAGGCGATAATGCTCGTTGAGACACGGCTGGGCTCCGTGATCAATCAAATAACACTTGCAGTCTGGTCCGAACGGTATCCATATGCATGCAACGACATTTTGAAATGCGTACGTCGTTGTCACATTCCGTTTTTGTTTCGTTTTTGTTAATGCGGCATCAAAGTTTTTGACGACTCTAGGCATTACAAGCGACAGCAGCCAGTCGGATGAAGGCGTCTTTTCGACTACAGTATATCACTTCGTCCTGTCTGCATTCTAGACCCAACCACCTTCACATTTCATTTAACACAGCTTAGTATTCGGCGTCCACCAGCACCAGTCACTTCGCCGTGCGGTGTTGCACGCAGAAAACCCGCTTAGAATAGTTCCTTGGACCACTTATCGGCTCAGGCTTAATCCTCGTGTCCATTCGAAGCACGTGGACATTGGACCGTCGCTTCGATGGTGTCAGTGTGATCTGCTACCTTGGAACGTTGGGCATGTCTTAGATGAGGTTCGCTGCCTTGCTGACAGCTAGTGACTGCAAATTAGGCCTGCGTTCTGCTGGTCTGTGGGTGGTTTGCGTTTGAACCGAGGAGAGTGGGAGACAGAACCAACAAATAGGAACGGGGTAACATGTAGTGTTTCATTGTCGGATATTTTTATACCGCGTAAATTTTTGCAATGTGAGAACACATACAGACTTGCAAGAGGTCGTGGTTCTTCCCATTGTGATATTGCTAAGCGTTTTCAGCATGGCTGAAGAAACACATTACCGTTTCATATGCCAAGGTTCCAGCAAAGCCTGAGCCCAAAAGGCAACCGTCTATCGTGATTACCAGTCTTACTATCCAGTTGTAGCCAACATTGTAACCTGTTCCGAGTTGACCAAAACACCATTTTTGGGAGTGGCATGAACATATTAAATACTACGCGTGTAGGACGGCCTTTGACCAACGCGCACACACTGCAAGCGGCTTCTTTGTCCCTGCAATCGCTCGTTTTGTTGTCGGGTGTTGCAACTTAGCTCCAGCAGCTATGTGAGCGTGTTTTTCAGCTCCATCTGCTCTCAAAGTGTGCGGTTAGTCCTGCACACGTGACGTAAGTTCTGCTAAAGTAATGTCAGCCTGCCAAGCATGACGTCATTCCATAAGTATGACGTGGTTTATCCCAATATGACGTCAGCTCCTCCCTTCTCATTGGTGTCATGACTCGGTCAACGTTGAAGGTACACGGGCAGCCACACCTCTCAGAAGATGACTTCACTCCTCTGAGTGTCTGGTCGGTCCTCAGAGTGTAACGCAAGCTGGGTCGGACTCTGTGATGTCATCTTGTGACGTCATGCATACATGTGTCATGCCGGTTCTTCGAATGCAGTGTAAACGTCGTTTGTCCTCTGAGGTTTTGAAGCGTGACATCAGTTTTTTTCTTCCTCTGAGTGTGACGTTACTTCCGTCAGTTTTCTGCGTGAGACGCAGGTCTTCTGACGTGCTCCAAGTGTCGTCAGTTTTCTGCAGGTGACGTCAGTCCTCTGAGCGTGAAGTCTGTACCCGCTCCGTGGCCGTGACCCCAGTCCTCTAAGAGTGGGGCATCGTGCTTTGGGTGGAACGCTGGTCATCTCTGGGTGTGAAATTAATCCACTATAAGTGTGACACCAGCCCTCAAAGTCGCGCGTCAGTCAAAGCTGATTGCTACGTGTTATCTGAGGCCCAACCACGACGCCGGAAGGGTAAAGTCGATCATCTGAGGGTGTCTTGTCTGTTCTCTGTGAGTGTGATATCAGTCATATGACAGCGTGACGTCAGTTTCGCTCATGCTCTTGATGTGACCTCAGATCAGCCAGTTTTTGTTGTTTGTTGGACGCCGCCCCCCTGAGCAAAGAATAATCTATCATAGTTTGTCATCGGTCACCTCTGAGTGTAACGACATTCATCTGAGTTGACAACGTTTATCTGGGAATAGGACAGCTGGCACCTAAATGCGACGTCAATTATTTATTAGTGTAAAGTCAGCCTTCTGAGCGTGATGTCGTTCATCTCTGAATGAAACGAAAGTCATCTCTGATCGTGACGACAGCTATCTGAAAATGTAACGATAGTCAGTCATTGCTGAGTATCTTGAGAGTCGTCTGCGTGCGACGTCAGTCATTTCCGCGGATAATGTCGGTCCCACGAGGATATAACCTCAGTCCATCAAGAATTGGCGTCAGTTATCTGCGGGTGTGACGTCAGTCATCTCTGGGCGAAACAGCAGCCAACCGTGGGTGAGGCGACATCGTGCGAGAATGTGACAGCAATGATCTGAGTGTGATGTTAGCCTCTTCTGATCGTGATGTCAACCAATTCTGAGAGTGATGTTAGCCGATTCTGAGAGTGATGCCATTTCTCTGAACGGGACGTCAGTAAAATCTGAGTGTGATACAAGTCCCCTGGGTATGCAGCTTCGGAATGCTGCATCCCCGGTGACGCCTCTCATGACGTCATTCCTCAGCGAGTGTGACGTCATTCCTTGATGGGTGTGACGTCGGTCCCCTGAGCGTGACGTTCGCCGCCAGTCGATCCGGCGTCCCGAGTTCAGCCACTTCCTGGTCGTCGTGCTGTTCGAGACGCTGCATACGATCGGTCTGGCGCTGCTCGTCTTCTTCGTGCTGCCGGACCTCGATGCCGTCAAGGGCGTCATGCTCACCAACTGCGTCTGCATCGTGCCTGGGGTGCTCGGTACGTGGTGCCCGGGGAGATTTGTACTTGGTACTGGGACTGGCAGGTGCGTGATACTGGGAGCGCTGTGGGTGAGTTCCTTATTTGCAATATTCAATATTTGCGATATTGCCTTGTTATCAACTATTCCGATATTTGCAATGCTTTAAACGGATGAAGTGTGATGGGCTCACCAAGCGTGTTTAGTCTACATGCTAGCTCTCAAACGCTGGAAAACACTAATAGTCCCAGGCCTTTTGTCTGATCTGAGAAGCACAAGTCACACTTTTTCTGTTTGTTATTTTTGTATACTTTTCTGTTACACACTGTTTCTCAACCTATGGAATGTATGATGATGCATGACTGTCCATTAGCTCTTCGCACTTCCTGGCCGCACACAAATCGAGAGGCAGTGAATTCATCTCAATCTCCAGGCATCCGTCACCACGCTGTCAACGGGCTCCACGATATCCGCAGGCATGCTGTCGCGCACCAACCGGGAGTCGAGGCGATTCCTGAAGACGGTTTGCGACATCGCAGCCATCCTGGGTCAGGCCACCGGCTTCATTGTCTGGCCCATCATTGAGTACCAGAAGGGCAACACCAAGGCGTGCTGGGCCATTCCGCTGGCCGTCGTGCTGACATCTCTCGGTTGGTGGGAGAACTACGTGGATCGGAAGTCAAAAATCGGTGAGTGGTTTTCGTGGTAAACGAAATCGGTGAGTGGTTTTCGTGGCGTAGGGAGCACCGGGCCCTTGAAAGCTTACTGTGTACACAGAGAAGCAGAAACGCCATACATTTCTTCTTGACTGCTTACATACAGTTGGCTCCATCAACACGGGACTGCCGAACTTATGCGGGGATATGACATTCTCTGGGAGGTTTTCAAATCTGAATGAATTAGCAAAGTCGTGTCTGTGTGCACGGTCATCCCTGAAGCTCAGCTGGTGAACGACCGGCTGTCTGGCAGCTGTGTGGCAAACATGTGGCCTCCTGTCTTAAAAACCGCCCTTCTGTAATTCAATAAAGGTCAATTGGCCACTGACCCCGGGAACCATGCGGCCACGGGGCAACAAAGCCCAACAACACCAGGTATCAGCTGATGTCGGCGGTAAAGACAGATTTCCTCCGGGAATTTCCTTTTAGTTGGCATGCTAGACTACGCTGTTGTGACCGATTTTTGCGGTTGCTTTTAGTTGGTATCGGAAAACAGGCTTCACAGTGAGGACAGGATCAGTGAAGACCGAACGGGGCCCATAAGATAGCGGCTGGTAGGGAAGGGGGGGGGGAGTGGTTAATCAGAGGCGGTACCATAACGTATGTTGCGATCTTTCGACAGAAAATTAACGTTCAAAAGTCCCTTATTGGGTGGGAAAGTGGGATCTCTGCAACAAGCAATGCTTTGTAAGGGCTTGATCCCAAAGCCGCGTCCGAAAAGTAATCCTCCATTTTTTAAGAAGCCAGGAACATCTGACATCGCATTCATCCAAGACGTACCAGAAAGCTGTCTGTTGTGCCCGCGCTTGTTCGGCCAAAGCCCTGACTTCACATTGCTTGAAAAGAACAAGCTGCTTACGACATAAATCACCGCACAATATTTGTACAATGATGAAGGTATGTGTGAAAGGATGCTTGTTCTGCCTGTCACGGTGGTTCCCGTTGTTTCTCAACCACTTGTATTGTCTAGAGTGCACGACATCGTAAACAGACCACAGCAGATGACCTTTGGTTTTTTTGACAGGTATTGTTCAGTACCTGGGAACAATCAAGGAGAAAATGAAGAAGACGCGCTATTGGGTATACTTGTTCGCATCACTTTGGAAGATACTAATATTCTTCGCGTGCATGCTGTTCTTCATGTTCCTCCGTCTGGACAACGTAGGAGATTTATTTACCAAGTTTACAGATAGCTTCAACCAACACAAGATATTTGTCAACGAGGTAGGTGACTATTGATCTAAGCACCGACTGCAGCACGAGCCCGCTGCGCAAATGCTAACTTAATTGTCTTACGGCTGTGAGTTGTTTTCATTTGAGCATTAGACAACAGGCAAGGTTGAATTTTAAGAATCTAGCTGCGTTTGCAAGAGCTTCATTCCATACACGTCTCATCACGGAAGCAGATGACGCACAGTCCTGAGGCAGTGACCAGAACTCTTAAATGATGTCGGCTCGCACCGCGGTGTAACGGACGGTTGAGGGACCTGTTCTGTGGACCCGCCAGACTTCTCGCGCCCTGCTCGGCACGGCTACGGACACTGCCGACTTCGCCAAGCTTTTCACGGATACCAAGACCATCTTCTCGGATGGCAACACCGCCATCTACGTGTGCTTGATACAGATATTTGCAGCCTACTCCGCATACATATTTGGTAAGTCTCGGAAGTATCTGACAAGGGCTTATCGTGACGTTTTTTTTTTTACTTAGTACTGTGTGTCTGGTGTTTGCACTACAAATCTTGTTATCTCCAAAGAGTGGCTCTGTGGTGTTGTATTTCATGTTGCACTTGATCCTGTCCGACATATTGTCTACAGACAGCTGCAGATAATTAGAAAGCAATGATAACTACGATAATCGTTTCCGGGAAAACGGTCGACGTTCTTTACACTCAAAAATGCGTTCTCACCGGCCCATTTCAGGCAAGTTTGCGTGCAAGATCTGCATCCAGGGCTTCAGCTTCGCGTTCCCGGTGAACCTGACGATCCCGGTGACTCTGTCGCTGCTGCTGATGGGCTGCGGCCTTCGCTCCGGTGACGCCTGCTTCCTGCGCGACACCATCCCCGGCTACCTCTTCTTCGAGTGTCCGCGCGGCGACTACATCAAGGACTTCATTGCTGGCGAGGTGCAGCCACTGTGCAAAGCATGCTCATAATTTGAATGGCATTCAATGTCACAGAGATAGCTGTCAAACATGGCATGCATTTCATAATTGGATCCACTGCATTGGAGGATGCCTTCTTAACTTTATCTTACATTATTTTGGAAGTAGTTTATGATGAGAAACGTTTTTTGCTTATGTAAAAACAGTCTAATGTAGTCTTTAGTCATCTGTGTGGAAAGCGTTGTAGCCATCGCCCTTTGTATGGTATGATAATAACCTGCGCCCATTGACTATCTTCAGCAGTGAAATGTGGCAGCCTAGCCAGGCGTTTTCGGTGCTGCTGGTCAGCTGTGCGTTGCGTAACTTCGGCACTGCCCCCCATCGCAACGGTTATTGGGAAGACACTTCTTTGACGCCCCCCCCCCCCCTTCCCGCCTTTCAGCACGTCTGGATCTGGGTGCTGTGGCTGTTCTCCCAAACGTGGATCACGCTGCACATCTGGACGCCGCACTGTGAGCGGTTGGCCACCACCGAGAAGCTGTTCGTCACGCCCATGTACAACTCGCTGCTGATCGACCAGTCGCTGGGCATGAACCGGCGCCAGGACGACGCGCCTGAGCGCCTGGAGTCGGACTCGCGCGCGGCCGACCCGGACGACCCGGACGGCACGCAGCACTACGAGACCATCAGCATCCACACCGACTCGTCGCAGACGGCCAACGTGCGCGCCACCGACCACATTACGCGCATCATCGCCTGCGCCACCATGTGGCACGAGACGCGCGACGAGATGATGGACATGCTCAAGTCGGTGCTGCGCATGGACGAGGATCAGTCGGCCATGAAGGTGGCGCAGGAGTACCTCAAGGTGCGCGACAAGGACTACTACGAGTTCGAGACGCACATCTTCTTCGACGACGCCTTCGAGATGTCGGACGAGGACGAGGACGAGCAGGTGGCCAACCGATTCGTCCGCATGCTGGTGGAGTGTATCGACGAGGCGGCGTCGCACGTGCACCAGATCCCGATCCGGCTGCGGCCGCCCACCAAGATTCCGACGCCGTACGGCGGTCGGCTCACCTGGACGCTGCCCGGCAAGACGAAGCTGATCGCGCACCTGAAGAACAAGATGCTGATCCGGCACCGCAAGCGCTGGAGCCAGGTGATGTACATGTACTACCTGCTCGGCTACCGGCTGATGGAGCTGGACATCTCGGTGGAGCGCAAGGAGATCATGGCCGACAACACCTACCTGCTGACGCTGGACGGCGACATCGACTTCCAGCCGTCCGCCGTCAAGCTGCTGGTCGATCTGATGAAGAAGAACCGCAACCTGGGCGCCGCGTGTGGCCGCATCCACCCGGTGGGCTCGGGCCCGATGGTGTGGTACCAGCTGTTCGAGTACGCCATCGGCCATTGGCTGCAGAAGGCCACCGAGCACATGATCGGCTGCGTGCTCTGCAGTCCCGGCTGCTTCTCGCTTTTCCGCGCCAAGGGCCTGATGGACGACAACGTGATGAAGAAGTACACGCTGACGTCGCACCAGGCACGGCACTACGTGCAGTACGATCAGGGCGAAGACCGCTGGCTGTGCACCCTCCTACTGCAGAGAGGCTACCGGGTGGACTATTCGGCCGCCTCCGACGCCTACACCCACTGTCCGGAGGGCTTCAGCGAGTTCTACAACCAGCGCCGCCGCTGGGTGCCCTCCACGATCGCCAACATCATGGACCTGCTCATGGACTACAGAAACACCATCAAGATCAACGACAACATCTCCATGCCGTACATCATGTACCAGGTGCGATGAGGTTCCAGAGGCAGATATACATGATAGTGGTTGCGCCTACTGACAACTTCTAAAGCTATATTGTCATTTAACACCGTGTTGATCTGTGTGCCCTACGTGCCTTTCTTGAGTTGTATCAAGATGTTTCAGGTTGAGAAGGTTTGGACGTCGACAAGAATTCAGTCAGCATGTGCAATTGCGTTAAAATTCGTTTGGTCTGTTGCACGTTCAGCAACCACATGCCGCACCTCTCAGAGACAATGTCGGCCATTTTTCAGTCATTCCTGATGGCAGGCACCATTCTGGGGCCGGGAACAATCTTCCTCATGTTGGTGGGAGCGTTCGTGGCAGCCTTCCGCATCGACAACTGGACATCGTTCCAGTACAACATTTACCCCATTTTGGTGTTCATGCTGGTCTGCTTCACCATGAAGTCCAACATCCAGGTGCAGTGTTAAGTCAGCATGGGTGGTGAAGACTCATAGCGTATTCGTTGTGTGTAACCGAGCTTGCTGTCAGTGTTACAATACTGGCAGCAATACGAATCATGAGTTGGAGGGTCTCATGTTGAGTTACTGACCTTCATCATTCCACAGGGTCCTGGTTTAATGACGTAATGCTACATAGCGATTTTGTTGGCGGTACCGAATATTATGAGCTGTATTCATCCCCAAGAATCGCCATAAGCAAACTTTTTGTTAATGTAATCGTTGTATAGGATTACAACGTCTCTTAATAACACCTCCTAGCACGTTAAATGTCGCCAACTCAGCACAATAATTTTTTACTCATAATGCCGGAAAACAAAAAAGCTGCAAGCCTCTCTTACCGATATCAGGTAACACGAATATGAGGGCAACCCAGCTACAGGCTCAGGCGGTTCATTACTTCCACACAACGTATTTGATTCAGTCATGTCAGCTAACCCTGATATCATCAGTCTTATCATACAAGGCTACATTATGCAGGGGACATGACTCTGCAGCTCATAGCGCTGCGTGTGTGTGTATGTCATTGGGGCTTTTCGACGCACTCTATTGCCGAAGCTGTATGGCGTCGCCTACCTCTCACCCTGGCAGGAAAGGGCGGGCACCGCGGGGAATCGAACTCCGTACCTCTGATTTCCCAGACGCGGAGTAGTTAACGCAGACGCGTTAACCACTACGCTACCGGCACCCCTTATAACGCTGCGGCGAATGAAGTGTCCATCGCTCAGACCTACAATAACTGTAGCGCGTGGTGATATGCTGAGTAGAATGTAGAGATCTGAGCGAGTAGAGTGTAGTGATTTTTATGTCAACAGCTGTTTGCTATTTTTGGTCGTTACGACGAGTGGAGACACTTTTTTACACCTCTTAGTAGCTCAGACACGACCTAAAGGCCTTCCATTGTAATATCAAGTTTTCACTTTGTTCTGGACCAAGCAGACTATACATGTTGACTATGGCCAGTGTGCTGAGCAAGAAACCTGTTTTGTGCAGCTGCTGGTGGCCCAGATCCTGTCTGCGGCGTATGCCCTTATCATGATGGCTGTGATAGTGGGCACGACGCTCCAGCTGTACGAGGACGGGCCTGGATCGCCTTCCTTCATCTTCCTCATCGCCACTATCCTGTCCATGGTCATAGCGGCCGTCCTCCATCCGCAGGAGTTCAAGTGCATTTTCCCTGGCTTCATCTACCTGCTCTCCATCCCGTCCATGTACCTGCTGCTGATCCTGTACTCCCTAACTAACCTAAACAACGTCACATGGGGTACTCGTGAGGTCCTCGCCAAGAAGACCAAGAAGGTAAGGCGAACAAAGGTACAACGGGGCGCGTACGCTATAGCCCTTAGCGCAAACTAATTAATGCTTACACAAATTAGTGCAAGGCCATAATCTGAAGTTCAGTTTCTTACTGGGCGTTCTCACTTCTTGAAGCGTGAGCGTGTGAATTCCACGGCATCTCTGAAACATGCTTGCCGTACTTGATTTGCAGAAACGTGGTGACATATCTAACTGGCCGTTGGTAGGAGCTGGAGGAGGAAAGAAAGGCTTTGGAGGAGGCCAAGAAGCGCCCGGACGGCATCCTCGGCTACCTCTACAGCACGAAATCAGCAGACCAGGACGGGTCGATCGAGTTCAACTTTGCCAACCTGTTCCGCATCATGTGCTGTACCTACCCGAAGCAGATTGATGAGCGCGAGCAGCTGAAACGCATCGCTGACTCGCTGGACGCGCTCAACCGGCGCATGGACCTGGTGGAGGGGTGAGTTCCTCACTGGGAAGCAAGGTGAACGGGATGCCTTGACAGACAAATATCTGGAGAAAGGGGGTGGCAATAATCTATCAGGCAAAAAAGTTAAGTTAACAACGACTGAGGCGATGAAGCACTTACCTGGAAAAATCGGTGGCGTAGTCAGTGGGTTTTTGAAAGGCAGTGGCTGGCTGAATTGCTCACCTAGAATTTGCTGGGGCGAGAAGTCGGCGAGTAAATTACGGGCCAGCGCGCAATGATGACATCGAGCGGCAGGGGCTTCGTTTGATGCGCTCACGGGTCCCCGATGAACAGCCGGATCACACTGATCCGTTTGTGTATTTTCGTCGTGAGATGATCTTGCGGGAAATAAACTTCGCAAATGGTTCTACTGTAGAGGCGACGCCAGGCAGATGGATCAGGAATAGCTCCTACGGATTATCTTTGAAGAGCAGTCGTTGGACAATGTGGTTGTGGTTACCTTATTTTATGGCCGCTGGCATTATGCATATCGCCAGTGACAATATTTCTGAGAAACATCTGGGCATGAAAAGTGAATCATCGAGGCTTTACGACGCACTCAGCTGCTGAGGCTATATGGCGTCGCCTGCTTCTCACTCTGATAGGAGGGGCGGGCACCGCCGAATATGGAAACCCGGACTTCTGGTTTCCCAAACGAACAAAAGCGTTGGCTGGCAAAAAAGATGAAGAGCGAATTTTTGGACACCACGCTGTGGCGCCCATCCCAGTGTTTCTTACGGTAATCTCTTCAGTACTGAGCCGTCACTTTTTACGTCAACAAAACCCTAACATGGGGATGAATTTGGAAAAAAGAGAGTGTTAAAGAGAGTGTTATGCGTTCCGTTCTGGTAACTGGTCTGCGTAAACCGCTCAAACTGTCTTGGCAAGAGGACTTGAATGACTTCCAACTGACCCCTTATTTGGCATCCATACATTCGGCAGCGCCAAGCGCAACTGAATGTTGTGCTCTTCTACATTAACGTTTCGAAGTCGTTTACTTGTCGATAGCATGACTGTGTTCAGTTTATGCAGTGATTGGCAAGTGTGGTAAGTAAATAAATGAGAAGAATTGACCCGCAGTATCCACCAACGGCATATTTCTGTTTTCGCGACTGACACCGAAACGGATTATGTGTACTTTGGAATACTCAGTCTGAGATTCAGAACACATTCCGTTACGCAACGTGTCGTTTCGGTTCACACAAATATCAAATGTATACGCTACATTAAAAGGTTCATTTACAGAGACACTGTTTTGCAATGCATGAATCCATCGCAGACGCGACGTCACAAAAATAGTGTATCATTCTTTTTGCATTCCTAATTGCGCCACTTTAAATTTTGAAATACTGGATGTCAGAGAAGACCAAGTGTTGAAAGGCTCCGTTTGTTGGCTCCCTTTGAGCCATTCAACAATACAAAAAATCCGAGTCTACCAGATTCAAAGATTTTAAGAGCATCAGCGCACTATATGCGATTACCTTCTACACAAGATAGTAAGCAAGCCAGCTAGTAAGCTAAGTACAATGACTGGCTTGTGGTCGTTGAAACAATCTGGTCGTTTGCGCATCCTTTCTTACCTGATGAATGTTTATTCCTCTGCCGGTTTGCAGTCATTTGAAAGTTAATGCTGAATGTACAATGTTTGAATGAGCTTGAATGAATGAGCTTGAATGAATGATTGAATATGAATAAATGGTTATGCGTCTCCAGGGGCCACCACCATGGGCGACGATGCAGCTTCAGCCGCAGCTCGAATCATGGAGGCCTCATCAGCACCGTCAAGGAGGACCGCTCTGCCTGCTCCGACACAGGCGACA